TATAAAAAAATTGCAACCAAAAATGAAATCTCTCCAGAATTTGAAATAAATTGTCAATTAAAAGACCAAGAATCTGCTGAAGAATATTTTCATTTAAATGTTTTTAACATAATTATCAATTCAATAATAGATGGATTTACACGTCAATTTCAAACAATTTCTTTGATTTGCAATTTTTTGAAGTTTTATGGAAATTTAATTAATTAATTAATGAAATGGATTAAGAGAATACAGTTTCATAGGCAAAATTATTGATAGAGAAATATAAAAAGGGAAATAAGTGACAAAATTGTAGAACTAATACTGCTGAAGGTATTTACAAATCCAATTTTAAACTAAGCAAGAAACTGGCAAAATTAAAGAAATTATCAACGTGGGATTCATAAATATATTTTCCAATATAACAACAATTGTGCTTTGAATTTTTTTAACCTTGTCTGTGAGTGTAGCAGAAGGTGAGAGATCATTTAGCATTCTGAAAAGAATTTAAAACTACAGTATCTACAATCAACTATGTGTCAGGAATGATTAAATGGACTAGCAACATTCAACATTAATTACCAGATAGCTTGCATTTTAGACTATTCTGAAATAATCAGTGAATTTGCTAATGTTAAAGCATGTAGAGCTTCTGTAAAATAATTAAATGTAATTAAATAATCCAAAAAAATATTAACTACCATTAAATTTATTTGCTTGTCCACAATTTTATTTTAAATTTTGAAGGGTGTCTAAAACATTAGTTGCCCCGGGCCTCACATTTTCTCTGAAAGGCAATGATCATTCCTATGAATGTATTGGTGCATTTATAGATCTCCACATACTAGGATCAAAGAACATCAGGACTCAATTAGAAAGAACTTAACAGCTTTGCTTCTGATTAAGATGTTGACATCATTTTTTAATAGCGCATATCTAATCCATCATGCCTCAACTCCATCTCATCTTAAATACTTGGAAATACTCAAAATCATTAAAGTGGATAAAGGGGCTGCAATTAACAATAGAGATACAGCACTAATGTCATGTGTGGATAGCATTTTTTGACATTGTCTAGTACAGTATATCTGTTTTTGATTTTGTTACATCATTACTATTTTTAAAAGATCCCTTGTTATATTTTTGATCATTTATGTATCTTAATTTTTATTCTTACTTACTTTTATGTATTTTATTTATATTACTTTTAGTGCCTTTAAGTAATTTATTTTATTCGTATGTTAAATATTTACCATTTTGTATATTCAGCAGATGATATGTAATACAAATCAAATCATTCAAACAAATGTATTTTAAATTTTTGTTCCATTTTTCTGTTTAATCTTAAGAGGTTAGGATTGCCTTTAAACAAGGTTGAAAATGTTAGTTCATTTAACAAATTGTTTTTGTAACTGGATTTAGGTGGATTTTTGGAGTTGATTATGCTCATCTTTTACCCTACCTGTTGTAAAAATCTTATGCTCCCAATCTCCCACTGCAAAAATGTTCTTTTTGGAGGTGTAGTGCTATACAACTATTGTAAATAATTTTTTGTATGTGTTTTTTTTGTATCGGTGTTTCGTTAGCTGTGTTGAGTTTTTTTTGGTTATATCACATGTGCTGTTCGTTTTGTCACTTTTCACCAGTTGTCGAGTCATGCGGCTACATGTTGCCTATTGGCCAACCTGTAAACCACGTGACGGGAAAAATTCCTGGATAGGAGAACTATAAAATGGAGCATACAACCTGAGAGTGGACCTTTTGTCTTGGCAATTTTGGATGTTCAAACGGAATTCAAGGGAATCTGAGCTATCATCAGGTGAAGATTGGACCTAAGTTGCCCTTCAAAAAGGTAATCAAATTCCATTGGATGCTAATCACCAAGTACCAATGGTAAGGCCGAGAGATTTAGAAGAAGTGCATGAAGAGGACTGGACAAATTGAGAGGATTGTTAATAAAATACGATCGGGTTTCGTCTAAGACATTTAAAGAAAGAGAAGCTCGATAACTAGAAAGGTCTCCTGTTCTGTGCAGGAGGATTGTGTTACATGTGCCGTTTAATCCTGTAAATATTGTAGTTTTTCTATGCTTACTTTTGCGTGATATATTCATTTGATTTGTTGAAGAGACCGAGAAATTGTAATCAATTAAGTGGGTGTCTAATCCTTGTACTTCATAGCATTAATAAATAGCAGTTATCTGATACCTGGAGTGTACTGTACATAAATAAATGTGTTACCAATTTTGTTCTGATTATCTTGTGAAGTCCTCATTTTTCTACCCCTCATATAGACTTATACCTTGGTATATTAATTGTCTTCACAAAGGAGACTGTCATCCAAATCTCTGCTGGAAGCCTGTGCACACTTCTTCCACTATTTTTTCTGTTCTTTTCCTTTCATAAATCCATCAATTAGCAATTATATTCTTTTAATGGTATTACTTGTATCAGCCAATATTCATGTTCTTTTATCTAAAACAGACAATAAATGGAACATACAATTAATTTTCTATAGTAGTGATGAGACTTTGTGCTAATCCTGTAAGGTAAAATCTCTCTTGATGACCACACTTTTGGATGGCCAGATTTTCTTAGTTAAAATTTATTCCATAGTGCTTATTGTTTTTAATCCTCCTTAAGCCAACCACTCTTTTATCTGACCAAGGACCAGCCAGATTCATAATTCCTTTCCTTTCCTCTTTGAGGCAACCTGTTTCTTCATCATAGATGGGATGATAAAATAGAAATCATGGTCATGTACAATGTAGTTTGGCACATTGCAATGTTATGTTAGGTGTAAAAATTTGTCTCAAATTGTTTTTAACTTCAATGTCTCCATTTTCTCCTATTTATTACCATTGTGCAAAATGTTAGTAGCAAAATATACATAATTTTGTATTAATATCCTGAAAAAGTTAGTCTATGCTTTATTTTTATGTTCTACTTACTCTTGTTAAACTAAATAATATGCATGGCTATGGAATGCATGTGTGATCCCACCATGCAACTATTCTGATAATTTCCTTTAACAGCATCATCACTGTATGTCATGTGAATGTTTAAATTGATATGTTCAGCAAGATCACAAAATTAAGTCCAATCTAATGGAACAAATTTAAAATATCTTAATGTTGTGTAATTTGAAATATAATAAATTAATATACTGTATTTATATATTTCATTGGCAAGCAATGACTTTTCAAAACAAAACTATAAATGCTATTTTCAAGGATTTTATAATTATAAGAAACAGCACACATTTGCATTTACTTTACAATAAAAATAATCATTATTAAACATTATAATTACAGAATTAAAAATTATAAATTTAATGAATCTGTTTTAATTAGAATAAACATAAAAAGCCTAATTCAAAAAAGAGTGATCAGCTGATAAACTGAAAGGATGATTGAAAAAGACATTATAAATCAAAATTGTATGATAAAGTTATGTGTCAGATGATTTCTCCTTATGTACCACTTTGTGCACATGTGCCATAGGTTTGCCACCCCTGATGTATATGGTAAGTGGTGAAACTCTGTTGTTAATTTGATTGCTTAATATCAGCACTCCCTAGTAACTGTTGTGTAGACACTCATTCATTTCCAAGTTATACTGACCATTATTAGCGTGGTGTTTTTTTTGTTTTAAATTGATAGCATTCTAATGAGAATATGTTTATTTAATGGCTGCAGGCTATATAATAACATCTTTAACATTAGAAAAGTGATTATATTGCTTTCCTAAAGAAAAACAAAGGTTATCTGGATAGCAATGTTAAAACTTTCTTTTCATTTAATAATTAAACTTATGTATATTTGTTTAACAGTTATAAAATAATTGTACAATACAATTAAATAAAATTCTGAAATGTAAAATTATTAACAATTTAGGATTTTTTCATGCTGTTACTCAAAGTTCACATCTGTAAAAACCTGCAACAAAAATAACTATGTAATTACAGTTTACATATAAAATTATATCAATAAATATGCTATCTATATGTTATATATTTCTAGTAAATTAATTAGGATAATAATTTCATATATAGACAATAAACTACCTTATTTAGGAACAATCAATTAATATATTTCCAATTATTTTATATTATTTTAAACACAATTCTTCTTGTTGTTTTTATTTACAATGTGTGGTAATTATTGCATTTTCTACTTAATTCTTTAATATTTGTAGTAGTATTAAAAACTTTTAATATTTGTATTACTTTAGCTTTTGGTATTTATAATTAAATTTATTTAGAACATGTTGTGTATATAGAACAGTGTAAGTAAATAATTTACTTAAATAACTAAATTAACTTTAAAAATGTGTTTGGACTAATTATATGTTCAGGAATACTTTCATATATCTTCATTATCTAAATTTTAACATTATGATAAATTGTAATTAAACTAAATATACATACAACAATCAATAGTACTGTAATTGCTGTATGATCAAAACCATTTACCTTTCTTCCTTGGAATATGGACTTAATCGGTTTCTGAGAGTTGAATACATTGTCATAAAGCTTGCAAATGTAGAATAAATAGAGATAAAACAAACTTCTTGTGTAAAAAAGTTCATTTTTAATGTAGCTAATAATGGTTGGTATAACATGTGACTCACTCACTGCCAGGTTATAACCTGGCAGTGAGTGAGTCTACACAATCATTACTGACTGTAGGGCACTGATATCATCAAGCAAAAAATTTAACAATAGTTTTGCCGCTTACCATATACACACTTTGATTCCCACAGTAATAATATGGCAATCCTGTCATTTCAATAATACATTCCAATGTTTTTCCCATAGAGAAAAGACACAAATCGGTAGAAAACAAAGTTGTCCTAGAGACATTGTTTTAGTAGTAGGTGGTAATCTAGCAACCAAAAATTTTGAGTCCTGATCAACAGAACAGAAAACAATTGCCAGAAGTATTAAAAAAATTACTTAAATACTAAATTGTCTCCTTGTTAATTACTACTTATTGAGCAAAGATCAATAAAAATGATTACCTGAGAACTGTTTAGACAGAGGCTGGTACAGAATTTCATTCTCTTTACGAAGTTTTCTTTTAATACTAAGGCATTTCTTTTCAACAAATAACGAGTCTGTAATAATCAAAAATTAAATAAAAATTGCTGCAGAGGTAAACAGATGAAAAAAGATTTAATATAAGCAGACACTAATTGCCAATTGGTCTTAATTTTGATTTTTCTAATTAATGCAATGGAGTTTCTACATGATCCTTAATCATTTGTAAGCTTCCTGTAGTTTTTTTAAAACTAATTTATGAATAAGCATATTATTTAAAATGAACATCTGATAAGAGAATTCTACACAAAATTTTTAAAATATTTAATTTTGATATACAAAATTGAACATGATTCTAAATGTATTAAAATGGTAGCTATCAAGCTAATTCACTCAAGTTCCTTTGATTTGGAATCAAAATATAATCTATTTACCAGTGGCGTGCCGTGACGTTTGATAGTAGGGAAGCTGTATTTCTGTAAGAAGCCGACTTCCAGGGGCAATCAGTTAATTGCGCGTCAGTGATGGTCAAGGGTCCATTCGTATTGTTTATTCAATAAGCCAGTAAAAACTGTAGACTTCTCTAAATGTATTTTTAATATCACAATTACATTCTGAATCGCTAGCCACAATATAAGGGCTACAACTTTAAATAAAATAATAAAAACTTACTTGGTGAAATAAAATGTGTGGTGGATGTACCGTTACATACCTGGTACAAAGTATTCTTCAATTGTATGCATATACTTTTAAAGAAAATTATGATTAAATATAGGTTTGTAAAAAAACGTACATAAAAATAACAAGATATTCTTTACTTTTTAAATCTTAAAACAATCCACTTAGTCAAATAGATCCCTACAAGTGGCTAATGGATGGAATCAGAGACGATCTTGGTAGGTGTACAGTGCATGCATGCATGCCAAATCCTGATGGTGCTGATACCGGTTAATGCCTCTTTTGTCGCATCACTAGTATATCTCAAAGGACATGACAGTGTTGTTGTAGATTTTAAACGTTTCTCACCATAGCTGTAAAAATCTATATATGTTAAACTTAATAGTCATTTGTTTTCTATAATTTGTTTTAGGACCAGGTTTCCATGAAATTTCCAAAATTTACAACTTTTCCGGTCACTTTCATTGAACTGGAAAAATTTCTGTCTTTATTAATCTAATATTATTAAGAACCCACTGTACTTGGCTAGAGATTGATTCGGTTAAACTTTTAAGTAAAATTCCAGTTCTTTCGTCAGCGTTTTATTTATATCCCTAATTCCCTATTCTCTTAATTATTTAACTATTTCTTAGGTAGAAATAAGATGAAACCAGTTATTTTGTACTTGAATATATGTAGTCTCAGGAAAAAAGTGGAAAGACAAATTTTTATGACAATGGATTGGATACATAAATCGTAAATTTAAGGAAAATAAATTCTAGAGCTTTTTCTGTACCTGATGCATCTCTCTCATTCATTAAATTTAGTTGTAAATGATGCTACCAAAGTAACAGTTAATTTTTTAACATTATACAAGAATTGTACATGTTTTTTTCTACATCCCCTTAAAGATGGGATATACGAAATCGTAATATCACTAGTTTAACATTGAAATCCGTGAGTAATATAAAATTGGAGAGTGAAATAAAAATATCAAATATTTTAATGGATTTTTTAAAACTCCTGTTAACTATACAGAACTATCATAAAAACATACCAGTAAATTCTTATCGGTTGGGTTAAGTAAAATAAATCTATAAATAAAGTATAAAATAAATAAAGTATAAATCTATTCATGATTCACATAATCGGGCGAGGGCGGCCAAATATCTATCGGACAGGCAGCTAACAGTCCAGAACCGGTCCTGGATAGAATTGGATGCGGTATACACGTAGCATCCACCCAAGCTCCTAGGCTTCCACCAGCTAAACCGGGTGAGGTTGGTGCTCTGTAAAGCGCATGCACGAATTTGGCTTTTTGGAATCTGACAATACAGCGCTTCCACTTCGCCACTAATATTCGAATACAACAATAGCAATCTTATCTTTTTTTACGTGTAGTATAGAAATTTGTAATAAGATACATATTGCGGTTATAATAAAATATTGTGCGATTATTTTCATATAATTAAAATTAATATGTATTTATTTTTTAGAAAATACAAGGGAAGTGGCGCATCCACCGCTTCAAATGATGGCACGCCACTGCTATTTACATATCAAAATTAAGATAATTTCTCCAATCAAAGACATTTTTTTTATCATAATTCAATCTAATCTGATTAGGAAATCACACATATTAAAAAAATCTCCTAAAATAATTTTTGAAGCATGCAATTCATTTTTGTTAAGAAAATGTGAGACTGCTTTACAGATTCCTGTATAATTGATCTGTTCTGACTGTTTAGTTAATAGCCTTTGTATACCTTCAGTAGAAATTTGTTAATCCAGCATGAGATCAAAGTAACTATAGATTATCAAAAATGCTGCATTACCAAACTTATTTTCACAAAATTCCATAAGTTATGTGCAATCTGAACATTTAAAACGTTGCCATACATGCCGTATTGGAGCACGCCATCATATGCCTCCAATTTACATGTTCTTTAATTGGTCTGAAGACAATGCAGTATACCAAGAGAAATTTTTTAGATAGCCCTTTACGGGCTTGGCCAGGCAGCAAGAGACAGGGTGTGATGTATCTGAGCAAACCGGCCCTCAAAAAATTTTCAGGATATTTTCAACCTGTCCAAATTCCATCCTGAGTCCTGCAGAGTGGCAGATTGCCAACTTAACCACTCAGCCATCCTGCCATTGGCACACACGGAGTGGTCCATTTACAACATCCCTGACAAACGACCCGTAAAATACATGTCCAATTAAAAAAGCAATTGGAATAAAAGTAATTTACTCTCAAGGGACCTTTTCAATTTTGTAAAAATTAAGCCATGCCCTGCTTCCTTATTAAAAAATATATATATTCCAGGTGTTCAGAAAATAACACACCATAGGAGTGCCCTACAAAGCAAGAATGCAACCCAGCAACCACAGTATGCAGTGTTCTCTCGGTTATGTTATTATGCAGAATTATGTGAAAATTTAACATAGAATGTAGGAATAGTAACCATATACATACAATACTGATTGAGCAATAACTACCAGATTGTTTTAAATCAGAAATAATATTATATGTTAATTTTATGCTTCTTTGCAGAAATAAAGGAAAAAAGTTCTCTTGTAAACTCTCAAGAAAAATGAGTGTCAACAAGGATATTTTACCTATTTCACAAGGTGTTCGAAATAGATGCCCCACAATACTCAACAATATGAAAGGTGACTCATAAAGTCTTCCTTAATCCTCCTAAGTCTGTCAGTCATTACTGTGCAAAAGCATCAATTATGCACCATCATAAATCCGGAACATTTTTAGCTGCCATTTGACAAACCCCGTCCTTTACATAGTCCATTAAAAAAATATTGAACGGCATGAAATCGGGACAGCGGGAAGGCTAGGGATTCTGACCTCCTCTACCAATTCACCTTTCCCAAAAAATGGCACACAACCTCTCTCTAATCTGAAGATACCAACAGGCGGGGACACCATCACGTTGGTTGAAAATGGCATTATCAAGAGCTGCATCTGCAAGCACCCTACTAAGAGCTCCAAATACTTTTAGGAGTTACGAATGCTACCAATAAAAAACAGCTGAAGAACTTGTAGATCAGGTAATACAGAAAATTTATTGTAAATAACAAAAAATAAATGTTTAAATTCTCTATTATTTGTTTCAAATTATTTAATTCATTAAATGTAAGTCTGAAATTATTTAACAAATTTCCATTTTGATTCAAGAATATTTTACTAGGACATCTTTTAACAGTTAATCTTCTCACAAATACAGTTAACAAAAACAAAATTAACGTTCTTCTTTGAAGACGATTTCCTCGAAAAATTCTGAATGCAAATCATTTATTTCGATTACATAATTGATTACGTCTCAGTAAGTGACAATAAATTACATCTAGTGTTGCCAACTTTTCAAAATCGCTGATCCGGACAGCATGTCAGGTTTGTTCGAACAGAAGTTCCTGACGCATGCGCAATGTCATTTTACAATGCAAAGAATAACGTGCTAGATAACTTAGCCCGTAGACAGGTACAGTACAATCGTACATGCAAAAAGAAAAAAAAAAGTCGACAGGTTGCGCGCCACACGTATACAGACGAACATGGCAGAATTGCAGATGAGTTTCAGTGAGTGCGCGTTCTTTCGCTGTTAAAATAGTGTAAATTTGTAAAAATATTTGCAAGAACTTTGTTTCATCGTAATTTCACAATTTCTATGAAATTCCCGGACTGTCCGGGTGAAAACCGGACGGGTGGTTACACTAATTACACCAGAAAAAGTATTTCTTAAACTGTTACTTTTTGAACATACGACTGAAAACGCTCGCAACTTTTTCATAATTTTCCAGAAACGTTTTAAATAAAAGCTTATTATTCTTTAATCGAGAATCCAAAATCAAAAAAAGGGGAACCACATTTGAAGTTCTAAAGTTATCCTGCCCCCTAAAGAAAGAGGACGGCTTAATTTTTACGCTTCTCGAAAATAAATAGCTTTTATTCTGATCACTTTTTAACTGGACGCATATTTTACGAGATATTTGTCGGGGACACTGTAAATGGATCATCCGGTGTATATCTCAAATGTTTCGACTAAAAATAATTCTAAACGATAACAACAGATGGCGCAATGTGAAAATGGACGACGAGAACGCGGGCGAACATTTTAAAAATCTATCATTAACGAGTGAATTAACAAATTTTTTTTCGCTATTTAATTAATTATACAATAAACACGTACCTAAATTACGGCATTTCATCAATTTCTACTGCGTAGGTAAATATATTTAAAACAAAACACAAAAAATTAATAATTTGATATAGCTGTCCCTTAATAGTCCGACGCACCTCCCGTCAAGGTACCCGTCCCCGTTACGTGTCTGCTTGCACAGAAGCATGTCGCTACGTAAATCTCCCCACCCAATTCTTACACGATGACACACATTTCGTGTTTTCCGTGAGCAGTTCTGTTCGAACAGTTGGAGCGGAGAATACTGTGGGCTACTGCTAGCAAAACAATGCCAAATATGTAATCACTTTCGCTAATCCGGGCACTTTTGGTAATCCAACACCTCTTTTGTCCCATACTTGTAGGATTATCAAGGGACAGCTGTATATTATTTTAGACTCTGCCGTAAATTCCCGAAATTTCTGGCGAGAAAAAACTCTTCGACGATTATCATCGGGCGCCTCGGATCGTTTCGGTTAAGAACGGTCGAAGTAAATTCGTTAAAAATTAGATTGGCTTTTAATGGAAATAATTCGGGATCCGGAGGCGCATTTTATAAACAAGGCTCAATCCTAACTACGGTAATAAGCCAGCCGATTACGTATCAGAAAATAACGCTACGATTTTAACTTTTCGATCGACCGCTACGAGAATAGTGGCGCAGCGATCAGACATCGATTTTCGCCGTTCGCTTGGAAGCGTAGTTAGACAAGGTTTCGACATTTCGATACGCGAGAAAATTCGATTGAAAAACGAAACGTACCAACAAATACATGTCGCGGTAGACGAATTCTGCCTAAACGACCGAACTTCAAGAATGATAAAATACGATAGACAACGATGGTTTTCGGTCCATTGGTAAATTACAAAATTGCCGTCGAGCTGCCAGCTTTATTCCGTTTTTAATCGCCCAAAACAGTCAATTAAAAAATATGATGTTCGTATATTTTTTAATTTGACTTTGTGAATTTCTTTTTTATTTGCATTAGAAAAATAAGTTCAATTCGGAGTTATTTAATAATAGAACCAAAATAATGTAGTTTAGATTTCCTTTAATAAACATTCTATGAACGGCCGGGTGGACGAAGGGATTAATACGAGATGGTGCACTCTAGTGCCAAAATAATTTGTAATTTATAATCATTATATCCAAATTTAGCTTGATCATTTACGGCAGCTGTGAGTTTGTAATTGGAAAAATTTTTCATTCGTGGAATTGGAAAAAAAATCCAAACACTTCTTGTATCAGATGGGAAAAATTAATGATTTTTTCCAAAAGTTGCCGTTGCATCACTGACAAGGTTCAAAGAATGACACGAGCGAGAACAAATAAGGGTCAAGGATTTTCATTTAAAATTCCTCTATGGCGACCAGAATGGACGCCTTTCATATTTATCTCCATTAGTCGACTCAAATGTCGAATAGCGATTCTCTGTAATCAACAGAATGCAACTGAGAACTAAAAAGCATCTCGTTTGTTTGTTGGATTAAAAAAAAAAAAATCACTGCCATTGGCCGATGCAGAGGGGTGAGAGGCCCTGACTATTAAGTTAAATATTGCAGGTTTATTTTTACACTGTAAAATTTTTTATATACATTAATTAATTAATTAAGCTAAATGTTAAANCTACATAGAACTCTTGGTTCTTTAAAACGCGCGTTGAAAAACGCCTAGTGTGTACAGGCTCTTAAACAATAGATAGAGTAAAGTCGAGGAAAACGAGGTTGGAGAGGAGTCGTGTTCCGACGCAACGTTGACCTCTCCCGTACCCTTCGTTGGGTTTCGAATTGCCACCATGTGACGAGGAGAAACCAATGGAGAGGCGACTGCGGTGGAAAAATCGATAAAACCGCGTTTTTGGGAACTTTACGAGGTCTTGGGTTTTGGTGCGTAGTGTTCCCCTGCTGGGATTTGGTGCTCACGACAGAGATACAACGTAGGCTCTTTCGACGCCCGAAGAACTGGTTTCGCTAACCCGTCTCGTCCAGAATCGTCGAGGATCGACTCGTCGACCGAGGACATCTCTACAAGTGCTGGTGCATGCCCCGGGGCCATCGTTCTCTGCGTCCAGCGTGCCGAAAATACCCAAGGACCGATCGAACAGTCGAACTTTTCCGTTTTTATTGGAACTGTTATAGTAACCCATCGTTGGATAGACTTTCACCTGACATATTGAATTATTGTAAGAACAATTTATGTATTTTATTAAACGGTTTTATATGATAAACCTGTCTCGGAGAGTCATTCTGCGCCCACACGACTGTATTGACCGCTCGGCTGTCGAAAACTCCTAACCCCAATCGGCTAACCTCGCAATAGTATCTAAATTGTTTTTGTTTAGTATGTAATTATTGTTCTTATAAATATTCTGGTGAATATTTCATGCACTTATTCTATATTATACCGGTTTGTATTTTGCTTAATCTGTTACTAAAAGAATTTACAATTATAAAACATATTATCCTTTGTCAATAAACATTAATTAATAAAGCGTTAGAACGACTGTATCTTAAAACGGGTTCTCAAGATAGTGTGATCATTAAATTTACAGTCTAACTGGGGACATATTTCAGAATCACTGAAATAGAGTCTAACGAGTAAAACTGACTGAACTTTGGTGACTTTTTAAAATTTATTGTTGAAGCAATTATATCATATATGCATGGAATCTAAAATAAGATATGGAATATCGGTTTGGGGAACCGCATCCTTATATGTAATTAACAAACTCCAGATAGTACAAAATCGTATCATTCGTTCAATTCATAATCTACATTTCAGGAAATCTGTCGGAACTTTACCGTACTGACAAAATTGATAGAACACGCAAAATTTACATAAAACAAGTCCTGCTAAAGAGCTATAAATTTATAAAGGGTAATAAAGAAAACAGTTGTCTCGGGAACAAGATAAGTGAACATCGAAATGTAACGACATGGGAAACTCGTAGAACTTATGGATATAATCTTCCAATTGTCAAACTTACGGTGGGAAAATCTGCACCGATTTTTCAGATGATTTCCTATTGGAATAGATTAAGTAATGACTTAAGAGAGGTATCAAGCTATAAAATCTACAAAAAAAAAAAAAAAAAAAAAAAAAAACAGACGCAAAACTTAACCAATCTACAAGAATCAAAATTAATGTGAAGTATCAGCTCGTGTTTTGGTTATTGTTAACTAATCCCTCTTATTGGCGGCCGAGCGGTCAAGGTGNCTAATTATATGTTCAGGAATACTTTCATATATCTTCATTATCTAAATTTTAACATTATGATAAATTGTAATTAAACTAAATATACATACAACAATCAATAGTACTGTAATTGCTGTATGATCAAAACCATTTACCTTTCTTCCTTGGAATATGGACTTAATCGGTTTCTGAGAGTTGAATACATTGTCATAAAGCTTGCAAATGTAGAATAAATAGAGATAAAACAAACTTCTTGTGTAAAAAAGTTCATTTTTAATGTAGCTAATAATGGTTGGTATAACATGTGACTCACTCACTGCCAGGTTATAACCTGGCAGTGAGTGAGTCTACACAATCATTACTGACTGTAGGGCACTGATATCATCAAGCAAAAAATTTAACAATAGTTTTGCCGCTTACCATATACACACTTTGATTCCCACAGTAATAATATGGCAATCCTGTCATTTCAATAATACATTCCAATGTTTTTCCCATAGAGAAAAGACACAAATCGGTAGAAAACAAAGTTGTCCTAGAGACATTGTTTTAGTAGTAGGTGGTAATCTAGCAACCAAAAATTTTGAGTCCTGATCAACAGAACAGAAAACAATTGCCAGAAGTATTAAAAAAATTACTTAAATACTAAATTGTCTCCTTGTTAATTACTACTTATTGAGCAAAGATCAATAAAAATGATTACCTGAGAACTGTTTAGACAGAGGCTGGTACAGAATTTCATTCTCTTTACGAAGTTTTCTTTTAATACTAAGGCATTTCTTTTCAACAAATAACGAGTCTGTAATAATCAAAAATTAAATAAAAATTGCTGCAGAGGTAAACAGATGAAAAAAGATTTAATATAAGCAGACACTAATTGCCAATTGGTCTTAATTTTGATTTTTCTAATTAATGCAATGGAGTTTCTACATGATCCTTAATCATTTGTAAGCTTCCTGTAGTTTTTTTAAAACTAATTTATGAATAAGCATATTATTTAAAATGAACATCTGATAAGAGAATTCTACACAAAATTTTTAAAATATTTAATTTTGATATACAAAATTGAACATGATTCTAAATGTATTAAAATGGTAGCTATCAAGCTAATTCACTCAAGTTCCTTTGATTTGGAATCAAAATATAATCTATTTACCAGTGGCGTGCCGTGACGTTTGATAGTAGGGAAGCTGTATTTCTGTAAGAAGCCGACTTCCAGGGGCAATCAGTTAATTGCGCGTCAGTGATGGTCAAGGGTCCATTCGTATTGTTTATTCAATAAGCCAGTAAAAACTGTAGACTTCTCTAAATGTATTTTTAATATCACAATTACATTCTGAATCGCTAGCCACAATATAAGGGCTACAACTTTAAATAAAATAATAAAAACTTACTTGGTGAAATAAAATGTGTGGTGGATTTACTGTACAGTACATACCTGGTACAAAATATTGTTCAATTATATTAATATACTTTTAATTAAAGAAAATTATAATTAAATATAGCTTTGTAAAGAAATGTACATAAAAATAACAAAATATTTTTTACTTTTTAAAT